GGCTGTGCTCTAACCAACTGAGGTAACCGGCCAGGCCCAAGTGAGAATTCTTAGGAAATAGTTGACTTATCACTTTGGCTTACGCAGAGTTAAAAACAAGTAGTGCTATATTTCAATTTTTTTTTTAATACTGGACTATCACCATTTTCTGAACTTTATGATATTTTAGGTTGATTGGTGTTTGAAGTGATATGTTAAAGTTTCTGTCATTTTGTTAGAAAGTGGGGAAAAAAGATTCTGTGACCCAGCTTTACTCCTCCATCATTATCCAGATGTCAAAACCACATGTAAGAGTCAGAAAGTCAAAAAGGATACTGTAAAGAAGATGAAGATGGGTGGCCAGAGAGGTACAAAGAAAACCAGGACAGTGTGGTACCATGGAGGCCAGTGGCAGGTGTTTTAAAATAGATCAAGTAGTTAATAATATCAAATGCTGAAAACAGGCCATCATAACACAGTGTACAATGATGTTAGTGACAAGCAAGTCAGATGCCCACCCCCTGATCCCAAAGGAAATAATGCAGTGAGGGTGACACCCCCCAAGTAACATTGTATTTTGGTTAATAAAATACATTAGCAATACTAGATGCATAGTTAGAGAATAAAAATATACCAATGACGTCTGCTGAAAAATATTTTTAAAAAACCCTGAAACAATGAAGAACATGAGGTTTGAGTCCATGTATCTGGGAGGCTCAGACTATTTCATGGCACCCATGTCCTTTAGGGATACAAGCCATAACTCAGACTTTTTGGTTACTGTGTTCATGTCTATGCTTTTCCACATTAATTACTTATCTATAGTCACTACTGAAAGGAATTTACATTTTACTCTGATTATTTACTGTTATATTTTAAATATAAATTGTCAAGCACAAAACTTAAAGATTCCTGAAATAATTTTGCTTCTTAATAATGGTATATTGATAATTCCAAATAAGAATGTATTTTTTCAAACAGGAAAGCTTAGCCTTGTTTTAATTGTTCCTTCTAATTACCACAGAATCTGGGTAAAGTCTCCTAAGGCGATCCAGAATCTCTGCTCTCTTTTGCTGACGTCTTCCCTCATGGTTATCAATTCCAGCATTCTGCAATTCACTTCCAATACGATCCAATTCTTCATTAACCTCAGACATTCTTGACTTTGTTTTTCCAATTTCATCCACTAAGGTTTCCTCTTGCTCTTTCTTCTCTTTCAAGCAATCCCTTCATAATAACAGCAACAAATTATATAGCAAAAAGAAAAACCGAAATTTAGGAATTACCAGATACAAAGCACTCTTATCTGGCATTGCAGGGGAATGGAGTAATGCTCTATTAATATTGAAAAGACAAAAAAATATAATACAATAAACCTAACATCAAATGAGGGCAAAAACAATTTTGATCATTCTTTGTCGATCCAAAAGATACGTATTTCTGCACACTGAAATATAACGATAGATCACTATAACCAGAGCAGTCCTCATGAGCTTAATAATAAGGAAATGCCAGTTAAAAAGAAACTCTTAGTGGCAGAATACTTGGGATGTATGAGGGGTCTTCAAAAAGTTCATGGAAAGATCCGTATTATCTTTTAATTCTATATTTCCATGAACTTTCTGAGGTACCCATGCATTAGCTTTCATGACACAACCCACTACTTTTATTAAAAGTATCAATGCCAAAAGAAAGTTAAAGTTTCACTACTGTTATACATTTATATTTTCAAAATTTAAATATTACATTTATTATGTACTTAAGGATAATCTTTAACCGTCTACAATGAAATGAAAAGCAATGGAGGAAATAAAGAAAAAACAGTGGAAGAGTGAGAACTTTGTAT